GGTATTCATTTCATTTTTTATCGGTTTTTTAAATGTAGTTCTTTGGTTATTGTTTCTATTTTTTTCTTTTTTGTGATTTTTTTATCAAAACCTACTAACATGGGATCTAGTTTGCAGAATCTAGACGTAAGAAATCCAACAATGGTTCAATATGTGGACACACAAAAACGTTTTGAATAAATGAATCTACAAAAAAGAAAACTCTCAGTTTGCGACAAGTGGCGCACATCAACACATGAGAAGATGGAGAGTGACCTTTGCAATGGGTAACCCTTAACTAGTGATTTTGGCGAACTAGCGAGTAGCGCGAGGGATAATTCATCCTGGAGCCCAGGCTCATCTGCTTCCTCTCAGCAAAAAATTCAAAAAAAATACTAGAAAAATTCAAATAATTCCAAATTTTTTTATGGTAGTAGATAATTTGACGCATGAGGTGCGTCCCAAAATTCAACTTATTTGTACATCTGAGTAGCTCTCGGTAAAAAAGACAAATCAGGTCAAAACAGTGCGTGAACAGTAAACATTTTTACAGACCCTGATTTTGTCTTTTTTTCCAAGAGCTGCTCAGATGCTCAAATGAGTTGAATTTTGGGGCGCACCTCACACGTCAAATTATCTACCACCACAAAAAAAATTGGAATTTTTTGAATTTTTCTAGTATTTTTTTTGAATTTTTTCTAAGCTTGGGTGTAGCTGAGCCCGGGTGCAGATTAGCCGCACTCGTAGCGCGAGGGCATATATTATTTCTTGTGCGGGTCAGGGGATAGCGATCAACGTGCTTCCCGGTAATGGGCTGACCCACCAGTCAGTCTCTGTGTTTCTCCGTTTGTCTTCTTTTGCTTTATTTATTTATTTTTATTATTTTGCAAATTCATAATTTTAAAAAATCTAAAAAAATAATTTCAAATCACGAACTATTTTGAACGTATGATTTTTTTGAAAATCACAAACAACTTTGAATTCCTGAACACTGTTTTAAATTTGTGAACATGTTTTGAATTTGAGAACAATTATTCAAATTTGTGAACATTTTTTCAAACTCGTGATTTTTTGAATTCATGGAAATTATTTGAATTCAGGATCATTTTTTTAAATACATGAACATTTTCTTCAAACTCGCGAAGATTACTGAGTTCATCAACATTTTTTTTAATTCAGGAACATTTTCAAAGTCATGAACTTTTTCTGAAGTTCATGACTTTTTTAATTTGTGAACATTTTTTGATTAGTGAACATTGTTCAAACTCAAGAGCAGTTTTTGAACTTCATGAACATTATTTTTGGATTTTTGTGAACATTTTTGAAACTCGTGAACATTTATTGAAACTTGTGAACATTTTTTGAATGTACAAACATTTTATGAATTTTATGAACATTTTTAGAATTTGGGAACATTTTTTGAGTTGGTGAATATTGTTTTGAATTTACGAAGCATTTTTTCAAATTCGCGAACATTTTCCGAAATCATGAATATTTTTAGAATTTATGAAAAATAAATTAAAGTATGGAGAAGTCCGATTTTGCGAAAATACGAATTGGTGAACATTTTTAAAAATTCATAACTTTTTTGAAAGCCCGAATGTTTTTTAAAAAGCTAATAAAAGGAAAAATGAGAAAAACAGGGGCGCCTGCGCCAGCGATGGGCTGGCCCGAAGTGTGCTGGTTCCCCCCGCACCCGCGCGACCGAGCCGACGAACTACCCAGTAGAGGAAAACAGCCCCCTCAAAGAAAAAGAAAAACAGTAGACGAAGCCCTTCCCTGCTGCCGCCGTCCAAGAGGCCGCGCATCAACGCCGCCGCTCGTCCGGCGACCCCACGCCACCACTCGCCCGCGTTCGCCCGTTCGTCTCCAGGAGGGTGCGCCGCTTCCCGTCCAGGTTGGGTCACCGCCCGCCCCTCTGTCCTTCCGTTCCGCTGCCTCCGCACGGTACCCCCCTCAGCCCGTCTGACCCTTCCCAAATCCTAATTTCCACTTACACTACCTGATGCCTCGCTGACTTGGATGATTTTTCCTTTCAATAGATTCATTCAAATGTTCAATATCATCGATGATTAGCTCCTGAGGTTTAGAGTTTGTTAGTTCAATGTAGAAAGCCTTTTGGTAATTTCTGTTTCAATTTAATTTTAGTGAGAGGAGCTTGACTTTTGATATGTCTGCATAAAACTAGGGTTAATTTTTGGGGGTGTTTTTTAGCCTTTTTTGCCTGGGGAGTCAGCTAGTCCTGGCTATATCCGTTGCCAACAGTTAGTGTGAAAACTGAAAATTGTTTCAAAACCTTGCTGAAACTATCTTGCTTCGGACACCTAGTCTTAGTACTCTAATTATTGGCCTTGAATCAAGAGCTCAGTACACCTTGCTCCTGGAAATGCCCCAGGTGAACACTACCAGATGCAATTCTGATTGCTGGTTGCTGGTCAGTCAAGTAGTGTTGCCCATCATTCGGTATTTATGCAAAGGAAGTAATAATATTTGTAACATGTCTGGGTGCTTCCTGCATTCTGTTTTGCTATTAGCATCATGTGTTCAAAACTTCAAATATCGCCATCAAACGACCAATACCACAATATAGGCTTGTAGAAATGGTAGCGGCAGGTTAATTATTATTTGGAGCTCGAGACATTCGACTGGACCGTTGGTGGCCTGTCATCTGGATGTTCTTACTAGTTTCTGTCAAGACTTGATCTGAGTTAATGGGCACTGCTGCATGAACTTGGATCGCCTTCAACTACTGATGTTGGATATAGCTCTGGGCATAATCCACCTCACAAAGAAAAAGCTATGTCATGATCATTTTTGGCAGAATGGTTTTCTCATCTGGTGCATTTTATTACTTTGAACTAGAATGACTGGCTAGCAATGTTTTTGGTGAGTTGGCTAACAAGTGGGACTGTATAAGCATTTTGTGATCTTGGACCTTGACTAGTATCTTGCCTTCGAGATAGAAAAGTATCTGTCTTCAAATCTATGCTCATATGATGGATGAAAAGTTCCATTTTTATGCACACTTGATGTATACATAACTGATACAAAAAGTTCAGTTTGAAATGCATTTATTGGTTTTCTTGGATCTTTAAGTGTTTTTAAGCTCTGCAAGGTACAACATAAATTCTGTGTTTAGTGATCCAGGTTTGATTGTCCGAGAGTTCTTAATATACAAGCCGGCGTCTTGATAACATAGCACAACTTATTTCTTGTCAGTGTCTTAGTGTCTTCTCTTGAAAATTTCTTGTCATTGTCATTGTGCTTCAGAGAGACCTTGTTATAGCTGTATGCTTCCTCTTGGTACCTCAGAGATGGATTGCTGCACATGAAGATATTCCTTTTCTAATAATATTTGTTTTGAATATGAATGCCGGCTTTGTATAAGTTGTAACTGGCAAGTCTTATTAGTATGTGTTGTGACTTGTGCCCATATTTTCTCCTCTGCTTGATGCTTGAAACCCCAAAATAAACCGAACAGCAGTTGATAGGGAGGGAGGGAGGGAGACTGTGATGATTAGTGGGGATTGAGTGGAGGGAGGGGTTTCACCCAATCCCTGCAGGGATTGAACTCCCTAGGTAGGGGATTAAACCCCTGTCAACCGAATAAAGCCGAACAGGGGTGACAGAGAAACGGGTTCGATCAGGTTGCTCTGTAGGAATAGTTCATGGAAATTGCAATCGTACTGCCCCTTGATACAAATTGCATACAGAAATTGTGTTTCTAATAACCGAACAATTATCGAACTTTGCAGCCTCCCATCGATGGATGCACTCATGGCTAACTACGGATCCGACTCTGATGATGACAATGAGCCGGCGACGGTTGCCGGTGGTGCTCCGGAGCCACAGGAAGCTTCCGTGCTGCTTCCTCCTCCTCCCCTCGACCTTCTCCAGCCCCCAAATTTCGTAGGTTTGGCCTTCTTGAATCTATCCCGGTCGTTTTGGGGGTCTGTGGTGATTGCTCACGTTTTGGAACAATGTCTGCTGCAGATTACTCAACAATTGCACAGGGGAGTCGCATCCGGAGTTTCCCCCATGTGGAAGGCAACTATGCGCTGCATGTCTACATCCCTGGTCTGTTTCTTTTGGCTATTAACATAATATCTATCTACAAGTATTGATCAGGCATGCATTCATAGATCCATCTGTAACATTGGGCTCCAGATGCTGCTGCTCCCACACTTGGTCTCTGAACTAATCTTATCTTTTCAGTTTTAATACCAATATAAGCGACCTTGCAACACGAAACTGAGATTCGTTTCTCATTGTTAGGCATGCAAATTCTACATCCAGAAGCTTTTTCGCTCTTATGACATGTGTAACTATCTCATATGCAGTTGTCATTCCTTTCAACGCAAGAAAACAGCTGACCCTCGTTATGAGAAGAGCTGCATCACTTGTGCCAGATCTCTATGCTGTAGATGCGGACTATGCACTTTCGGAATTGTGCAAAGATGAGCAAAAACTTGAGAAAGTGCTTCTGGGCAGGGAGTTCCATGTAAGCTTAGGAAGAACTGTTGGAATCCAGGTGCATCAAATTGACTCCCTCGTCGCAATGCTTCGTCAGAAGTTTCAGTCACAACAGCGGTTAGCCATCTGTCAATACTTTATTGATGAGCCGACAATGTTTTGCTCCCTCTGGTGTATCAAATCATGTGAACTTCTGTAGAGGAATGTGTGTGGCCAGTTATGCATGTACTTGTATGTGTCATGATTTGTAAATGTGTTTGTGTTTGCATAAAGCAGGTATTGGATGGAGTTCAACAAATGGGAGCATTTTGTCAATGATGATTCTACACGATCATTTCTTTCACTAGAGGTTACAAGAACTGGGTTACCAGAGGTATGTGGTAGTTTCTGTCTTCACTTGTTGTCTATACGCATCACATGATTGTCAGTTTGTATTTGTTTATTTTGGTCCTATGGCCAACTCATTTTGAGTTTCTTATCAACATTGTATGGTAAAAAACTCACATTGTAAGTTTGTAATTGCAGTTCACCGATCTGAAGTATTTACTATAATGAGGTCTATGTGTACTTTGTTAGTTACTTCATTTGTTTTGCAGATAAGTAAACAAATACATATGGTTGATGAAGTATATCGATTGCACGGTCTCCCTGAGTTTTACAAGGTACTATGTGGTTCAATTATGTTCTGTTTCTGGATGATGACCAGATGGTATGACACTTCTAGCTCACGGCTGATGTCACAACATGTCATGGATAACATAACTTTGCCTCTCGAACTAATAAATCAAACGCCCTACTTGGAAACAAAAGGGATGAGCTTCAGTTGACAACATTGGTACATAAGTAATTAGTAACTGATGTCAGATTATTACGACTGTAAAAAAAGCATCTCAGTTTTCGTCACCAAATTTGGAAAGGCGTTTTAACTGGTATTGTCATTTTGCAGAATCCTCGGCCACACATATCACTGGCGTGGGCATTGGGTGATGTTAGCTCCAAATTGAAGCAGGCAACTAAGGAGATTGAAAAATTTGAGAACAGCATCAACTCATCTAAAAACTGTAATCTGAGGTGCAATTTCAGTTGTATAGTGTGTAAAGTAGGCAAGAAGGTCTACGATATCTGTAAAATTGGAGACTGAAGCAGCGTTCTTGTACACCTGACTTGCGGATGTTACCGAGTTTTGTAGAGTCAATACCTTTGGTTGTAACATGGAACTAAAAATGTCATGTGTTTCAGTAGCATTTGTTGTTTTGGTAACTACACGGTTGTTTGAATCACAGATAGCTAGGAAAAATAATCCCACCGTTACAAAATATTGAAAGTTCTAGCTTTATCCTAAGCCAAACTTATTTATATTTGACCAAGTTTTAGAAGAACTAGATGATAACCCGCCGTGTTGCTGCGGGAACACTTGTTTGCATAGTTGATGCATGATTTTGAGATGAAAAATATTGCAAAACAGTACTTAGGTATGATTCACTCTGTACGCAAAGAAGAATACATTGTCCAAGCGATTCTGCAGGTGTGCTCTCAGAATTTTGCACCTTGCACCAGAGATCCAAATTAAGTATTGAACAATGTGAAATGGATGGAAGCTAGTGCAAATAGTAGCAATATAAGTCTGCCTTTTTCCCACAGCTTATTGAGCATCGTTAGTCATGAAAGCAAATGTAAATTATTATGGAAAACTGAATTGCTACAACAGGCTTCTTTTTTTTAGAGCTGCTACAACAGGCTTCTCGTTATATATCACGGGGAATATTTGAAAATGCTAAGTACCCTTTGTAGCCTCTCTTTCTTATATAGATCCAAGATTTTCTCAGAAATTAAGAGAGGCTTATGATCATGTTGAATGTATCACAGCGGAAAGTTCGGAACTATGTTTGTACCCTCTGTAGCTTCTCCCTATTTCTTCTTGCACTAAAAAGAAGATAATGCTGATACCCCACGCGTTGCAACGGAACAGGATGCGTAGATACAAATTTACAAAATTACAGACAAAAATTATAAAATATCAATAGGCATGGAAAAAATCTAAAGAAAAGCATCATGTACACAAGAAGTCTCAAATACAATGGAAATGACACTAAGCATCCTAACATAGAAGTAGTTCTAATATCTGTAAATTGTAAATTGTGGCTAATTGTTACAATTTGTTCTGGTCCCTAAAACTCCATATGAAAATTTATTCTTGTCAATGTGAGAGTTTGTCCTGGTCCCTACAACTTCATATGAAAAATTATCCTTGCAATATGAAAGTTTCTGTTATCTGTAAAAAGAACAAAAAAATCAGTTAGGAAACTTCAAATTAATAAAAATAACCACCACAATTAATTTGAAATGGCATAAACCACCAAATGACCATCTTTGGATTTGCAGCTACATATTGGATGAAGATGTGGAATGGACTTGATAAAAACAATCATGTATAATAGCTGTCAGTGCTTCTAATCAATGACATAAAGTTCAGCTGTTATGTAATGAACTATTGGGAGGAGCACTTGACCAGTAGTAACATGTTGAATTGAACAAATTGCAAACTTTTATGCTAAGCTATCGGAAACAGCTAGCATAGCTCCAAATTTAAGGAAAAGGAACTGCACTTTGGTAAAATGAAAGGTTTAATTGGGCAGGCACAAATTCAGGCTACCACCAAATAAATTATATCCATGTGCAAGAAATAAGGAGCATTACTAATTATATGTAAGACGGCCTAATTGATACATTTTGGCAACCCCTTGGTAGGCATCATGCCAATAAGAATAAACACTATATTGCTGAAAAAAGAGAGACATATACTCCATGAGAACTCAAACACTTGACTGACTGAAATGGAGAAAATCAAAATCGCAGTGTATACACCAAAATCCAAATTGATATCTGCTACCTTATGTCCAAGTGAATGAGCATCTCCCTGAAGTCCAGTGAGAGTTGATATCCTGACCTAGAGGGTATCGGAGGCGTGAGTGGGGACTGGGAAGTGGCCACCAAGCTAGAATCCGAACAATCAACCACTAAAAGCATGTGGTACTCACCTGATAAGCTGATGCGCAAGCCCCAAAGGCGGAGCCCCTTTGGAAGTCATTTTTGCTTATGTAGCCAGACTCCTCGCCGTCGAGGGTGACGGCGGAGCAGAGCAAGGATGCTCGTAGGTTGTCGAGGATCTGGAATTGTGGGTGGGTGGCAACAGAACGACGTGGCTCGGCCCGCGTCCCACACTAATGCCCTCTTTGATTTGCAGGATTTTCAAAACTCGGGAATAGGGACAATACAGGATTTGAGTGGCATGTCCACTTGAATCCTATAGGATTAGCATAGAGTGTTTGATGCTACAGGAAAAACAAAGGAATTGAAAAAAAGAGGTTGGAGTGGATGCTAGATTTTCAGTGAAATGCAGTACACTTGATTCCATAGGAAAAAATCCTATAGGATTCAATCCTGTGAATCAAACGACAAATGTAGGAAAAAAATCCTAAGGATTCTAACCCTCCAAAAGTCCCATGGAATTCCTTTGAATCAAAGGGGCCCTAAGGAAGAAGTTGGAGGCGAGGCACACAGGCGGGCGTGACGGATCTTGTTGGGGATATAACTACTAGGTATGACCCGCCCAGGAGGGGCCAGGTTATACCTATGGTGATTCATCATATGAAGCCCAAAACGATATTTGAAGATGGCGGTTCAGTTAAGGGCCCAAGGCCCAAAGGCGGCTTAAGGCCCGTAGAGATAAATCGCCATATATGTATGACTTGTATTGTAAGGCAAGAATAGATAGTCACCGAGCCGGACACTGTTTCTGAGCCAGCCGGGACTCCGTGAGCCGCTGGGCGTCGACCTCTGTATATAAAGGGACGACCCGGCGGCGGTTCAGGACAAGAAACATCATATCAAAAGCTAGGTCAAGCGAATTCGCCCTCTGGTAATCGAGACATAAGCAATACCACCTCAAACTGGATTAGGCCTTTACCTTCACTGCAAGGGGCCGAACCAGTATAAACTCTCGTGTCCTTTGTCCCGTTTTAACCCCTTTAAGCTTCCTAGTTGTGATGGCTCCACGACTAAGTCCTTTTGCTAGGACATCTGCCGTGACCTTTCCACAACAGTTGGCGCCCACCATGGGGCCAGCGCACGGTGGATTTGAGTTCTTAAAGGGTAACTTCGAAGGGCTCAAGGGATACACTATGGGCCGGATGACCAAGAGTCGTCGCGGCAAGCTCTACATCGACGCCGCAGGCTGGGGCCCCGACGCCAGCCCAGTTGAGTACGGGTACCAGGTCCCCTTCGGTGGAATCCATGTCTTCATCGGCAAAACGGCGAGCCGGACCCTGAGTTGGACATCTGCACCGACATCATTGAGACGGCTCAGCGTGCGAGACCTGCCCGAGCTCAGCCCTCCGTGAAGCGTGCCTTCGTGGGATGCATCCATGAAGGGGAATTTGAGGAAGGATCTATGTCTGGCGGTGAGACAGCCATCTACTCTAATGGCGAGTCGTCTGCAGGTGAGACTGATTCATTGTATCAACTGCATGATGGCGGGCTTGGGGGCTATTCCGATGGCAACAGTATTCCGGACCCCTATGAGCCGCCAAAAATAGTCGGGATCTTCATGGCTGGCACGCAGCCTGGGCAAAACTCTACGGCTGCGGCAGCAATGACTTCCGGGTCAGCAGCGGTGACGGCAGCCGGTGCAGGAGGCCCTGCGCGCCCATCGGCTCAGGTTCTGATGGCTTTAATGGACAAATTGACGGCTCTGTTAACAGCCGTAGTCAACCCGGTGAATCAAGCTCAACATGATGCGGAAGTGGCGCAGTTACGTGAGGAGGTAGCACAAGCCAAAGAAGACCTGGCGGCAGAAGACGTCAGAATGGCCGTGGAACGGGCGGCTTTGGATGCTCAGGCCCAGCGGATTCAGTCGGAGGCTTTCTAGCTTACGATGGATCAGAACGCATCAAATGAGATCGTGAGGAGAAGGCACCAGTCCCGTCTGCCTACAATTTATGAGCCTAGAAACCTCTTCCGCATGCTCGGTGCAGGGCCCAGTAACCCGCCGGAGATAAACCGGGCTGCGACGCCCGGGGCTGGGATGCCGGTTCAACCGCGTGTGGCGAAACCCCCTCGTCTGTATACTGCTCCACCTCACCATGTACCAACACCACCGGGTCATTATTCTAATCCGTTGGAGAACATGATCGTTGTAGCGGCACGATTGGTGGCTCTCCCGGTGGATGGCGACTCCCCGACGGCGGCTGAAACATGAAGGGTCAGAGAGCTTCTTCAGACAACCTTGGCGCAGCAGGATGGGTATTCTTATAGCCGGGATAGGATCCACTCGACTCCTCGCGCAAGCCGGAGCCGTAGCTATAGCAGGCACATGGACACACCAGCCATTTCAAGCAACACCCTGCGCCGAGACCAGCCGTGTCGGCATGACCCAGCGCGTGATGGAGTTCCTAATTTGATTGATCAGGACAGAGTGCATCAAGAAGCCGAGCAGGCGGCTCAGCGGGCGGCTTACCAGCCCCTTTCGGTTTATCCAACGACCTCGGTTGAGGCAGGCGTGACCTCAAGATCTACAGGGGTGCCTAGTTTGGTGTCGGCTCTGCGCAATGAGAGTTTGCCCAAGGATTTCAAAGGACCTCGAAAGGTGCCGAATTACACAGCCGACTTACCCCCTGAGGCGTGGATTGAAAGTTATGAGATGGCCATGGAGTTATTGGAAGTCAGTGACGCTGCGTGTGCCAAGTACTTCACCATGATGCTGGACGGAACGGCCCGTACTTGGTTAAAGGGGTTGTCAGCTAATTACATAGGTTCATGGGCAGAATTAAAGGCCCGACTCATTCAAAACTTTAAGGACACGTGCGAGCACCCCATGTCAATTGTGGACTTGACTAAGTGCAAGCAAGAGGAGGGTGAATCCACGACCCATTGGGTGCGCCGGGTCAAAGCTATCATACATTCATCCGATAACATGAATGTCGGCTCTGCAGTCTTAATGTTGGAGAAAAATTGTCGTTTTTTGCCTCTTAAACAGAAGCTGGGGCGGCTCAAGCGCGATTGTAATGACGTGGGCCAGGTGATGGCGGCTCTAGTAAAATATGCTGACTCTGATAGTACCAAGGACCCCGAGTCTGACGATGA